TTGACGCCTCGTACCGAGATCCAAGCGTTACCCAGAGGGCAAACTCCGCCACCACCTCCACCTTTGACAACGAGGACATTCCACCCGACGCTGAGCGTAAATCTTTAAGCAAAAAATTGATCTGTATTGACTGTCACGACATGACTGAAACATTTTCGAGTTGTCTAGGCGCGGCAGTTTTCAATGTTGAAGATCATGATGTCGGTGGCGCCCACGTCGTGGAGCTGGTCCATGACGTCCGACACGTCCTTGACCTCGACCATCGCCGACACGGCGTATCCGCCACCCACGAGTCCGTTCACCGTGGGGGAGCGACGTCCCGGCGTGATCTTGGTGGCCTCCTCCAGCTTCTCCTTGTCCACATTGTACGTCACCATCCTGTACTTGGTGGCCGTGATGAAGCCCAGGATGCGCTGGTGAACCTTGTGCACCAGGTCCTTGTGCGCCGACTGCGGGTTGGCAATCAGCACGGCCTGAGTCTTAAGAATAGTCGAGATGAGCTCCAGACCGGCAGCCTTCATAGTAGTGCCGGTCTCCACCAGGTCGACGATGCCATCAGCCAATCCCAGCGAGCAAGCGGCCTCCACGGAGCCCGAGACGTATTTGATTTTCGTGGGGCCTGTAGCCTCCGTTTCGAACTGCTTAAAGTAGTCGCGTGTGGTCTCCGGGAAGGACGTGACGATGCGCTTGCCTGCGAGCAGCTCAGGCGACGTGATCGCGTCCTTGACAGGCGTCTGTACGCCCAGTGAGCACTGGCCGAAGCCCAGCGGCAGTAGCTCCTCCACCTTCGTGCAACTCTCAGCGATGATGTCCTGGCCTGTAATACCCAGATCCAGATTACCCTCACCCACGTACGTGGCGATGTCTGAGGCGGGCAGGAACACGAGCGTCACCGGCAGACTCGAGCACAGCGCGATGTCCACGCGGTTGGGGCGGTGGTAGTCCAGACCCGCGCCCTTCAGCAACTTAAGGATCTTGTCGTGCAGACGACCCTTCTTGGGCACAGCGAAGAGCAGACGCTCGTCGGATTTCTTAGGCACGGGGGAAGGAGTCGAAGCAGACATGACGTTGATGTTGATGCACTGGTCCAAAGGCAAAGTGACGGTTGGCAGTTGACGTTGAAATGGCAAAACTTGTTATGATAAACATGTTCTTAACGGATTAGTGAAGCTGAGTGAAAACGCTTGACTCCGTTTGCGTTATCACGTTAAGAACCACGAGCTTTTTCTGACGAACCTAAGGCGAACTTAGTGTTTTGTGAGACGTGATAGATCAGCATGGACGAAGGCGAGTTCCTGCGTCTGTTGGAGCGCTACCCTGTGGTGCGCAAGAAGACGCACTGCCGCGTACAATGGAATGACATGGTGCGTCGCCATGTCAAGCACAGTCTGTGGCTTGCAGCCTCTTAATTCTGGCGCTCGAGTCGCCAGTATTGCCTTCCCAACAAGCGATTTACTTTTCTTGTGTTCGGTTACTGCAGTACGACGATGAGCCGGCAACGCACCCTACGAGCTCCGGTATCTTTACCCCCTCAGGCCAAGAGAGCGTCATCCAGCCTTCAGACTCCGTGGAAGACGCGCTGGAGAAGTTCCTGTCGCCGTATTTCTCGTCCAACGAGGCTGCCAAGATCCAACAACAGCTCGAGAAGGTGAGAAACATGCTGTTTACGATACTTCCAGACGCTGTTATCTGACATTAGCGGGTTAATACTGTTGCGGCAATTGTAGGCACAGCGAGATTTCCTGTCGAGTCTGTGTCTGGAGGACGTGAACGACCTCTGTGCACAATTTGTCACGACTAAATAGATGCGATACACAAAAATGTTGCAACTAAAAAAAAAGAGCAAGACTATATTATCGAGCCTCAATTTGCCGTGTGGGAAAGTTGATGTCTCTACGACCACAGGAAGACATGGAAGTGAGCATTACAGCTATGAAACTATCGAATAATAAGTGACTCTACATGTACCTGGAGGAAACTGCGAGTCTGTGCGGGATCGAGGAACGGCGACGTGCTCCAGGAGATAACAAGCGTACGCAACTCGTCCGTGGACGTCTCGAACGAAATGAGTTGCAACAGCGCTTCCTGCAATCCACATATTCACCCATACAACGTCGCTATGAGTAACGCATCAAACAGCTACAAACTGTGTGCAACGTACGATGTGTTGGTACTCGGCTTCGAACGTCGCCAGCTCCTGACTTATCATCTGGAAATAGTCTACTGGCCTCAGATCCGTCGCGGAGACTTGCTGCTCTCCTTCATCATCATCCCTCAGCACTATCAACGCAATGATTCATCAGAATTACCAGCCAGATATAGCGAAACTTATAGGAGCCACCCACCGATGTCTCTCGCTTCAGCTTGTAGTGTACACATTTCCTCTAGGAGCTTCTCGAACCCTCCAGACAGTTCCTGCACCTGTTGATACAGATCCTCTGCTAGCCATGGATCCATCTCCGCATTGCCAGCAAGTCCAGACAGCACCACACTCTCCTTCTTTCCTTTCTCCGGCGCTGTATCAATTGCCACCGCCGCTTGAGCCGCTCGAATCGCCAGTAGTGCCGACTGGAACCCTTCGATCAGAGCGATTCCCTCGCGTTCTCGACCATACCAGGCCGCACCTTTCTCCTGCATAGTAGTGAAGAGTCTTGCTATCCTCT